ATGACAAGTGAATAAAAATAAGGATGGGGGACATGGGGAATGCTAGTGCAGACAAGTTAATAATGGAAGGCTCTCCCTTGAGAAGCAACACAGAGGAAAATAATAGGAAAGGCCTCATCTGAGCAGGAAGATACAAGGTGTGTTAAGGGAACAGCAAAGGATCCAGTGCCACGGGAGTGAAATGGGGAAAGACGCGGGTGACAAGATATGATGTTGGGTATTGCAAGGTTCCCGATCATGCAGGGCCTTAGAGACCCTGTCAGAACATAGGATTTTACTTTTGAGTCGGAAGGGAAACAATTGTAGGGCTTTATCACAAGACTGACAAAACTGGACTAGCATTTAAAGTGAGTCACTCAGGGAAGGACTTCTACAGAATTATTTGATTTCAAGGTTTCCTCAATTTTATCATTCTGATAGAAACAGAAGAACATTTAAGTCTGGAAAATGGAAACAATACATCATAATGGTAGACTGTAGCATTCTGACTGCCTAAAGGAGGCTGTACATTGAAGCCCAATAACAAAGGCACTACAATCCAACAAGCAAAACAATTCCTACAAGGGAGCATTCTGTGCTTGGTGGAGTTCATATACAACATGTGGCAAAGAAATACAGAAGCTTTGACAGTAGTTCTGGAATGTTAGGAGGAAAGGACAGTGAAGAATTAAGACTCCACAAAGAAATATTTGGGACACCAATACTGTCAGATCTGGGTTGGAAGGAGACTGGATGGGTACAGGGACCTGTATCATCAGTATGATTGACTCCTAGTGATGATGTTTGAATGTCACAAGTAAGTGTCCACAAAATAACCTAAGGCAAGGCATTACATAATGAGAAATTAAAATCTGAGCATTTCATGAACCAAAAGTCAAAGGAGAAATGAATCTGTTCCCAAATGGCCGTCTGTATAGATGTGAGCCATGGATTTTTCATGGAAGAACCAAACCAGGAATGTCAGTCACTGAGAAGGATGAGGAATGTCTTCTGTAGTAATACAAACTTCTGTATCAGGTTATTAAGCACTAAACTTACCTAGTCTTTATTCCAAAACCAAGCAGAAAGATAAAGAAAAAATAATAGAGGAAAAGAACAAAGAAAAAGAAGTGTGGGGAGTGACTTAAGATAAAAAACCATTTAATGAATCAAACTACTCACATTTAATCACAGCCCTGTTGATGGAATTCCAGGTATCTTCAGGAAAGCTAAGCAATGTTTAAAATGGTGACACTTTTCAAGAGCCAGTCTTGGCTTTGGCAAAGAAATGGTTATAACTGAAGATATGGAGCAGTATAGAAGAATTCAGATAGAAACCAAATCACTTGGAAAAGTCAGGCTCTTTTTTGTTGTTTTTGTTCATTGTAAAGGAACGTAAATTTAGTCTCCAACCCACAATCCCTCCTTTCCCCCAACTTCCCCAGAATCCTGCACAACCCATAGAAAGTAGAAAGGGTGCCAAAACAAACAGTGAGGGCTCAGCTCTGTGGATGGAGGGTAGGATGAGGAGCAAGACTGGCAGGCAGGCAAATGGAATCACTTTAGAGCAAGGCCACAAAATGGAGACTAAATAATCGGAGGACTTCCAGAATTCACAGAAAATGGGATATGCTTAGCAAAAATCACTGAAGAGCTTCCCTACTCCAACTCATTTCAAAAAAACACAAAAAAGCAATAAAGGTCAGGAGAAAATGAAACAAAGCAAACATACCTGCTCTGTTAACTGTCCTTAGTTAAAGCATAAAATACTCTCCTCCCTCTTCTCTTCTCCCAACCACCCAAGAACAGAAGAGCAAACTGGCAGCAACTCAGGTGAAAGACTTCAGCCTTCTAGCTACAAAGAGGGGAGATAGCAGACAATGGAACCGGTGATTCATTACAAAAGAATACACTCCAGAGCGGCCTGCTGCCACATGGACTCAGGGCACTATTTAAAGAAACAGCAACCCCTTTTCCAGCCCCCCTTATTCTTAACACCTTCCCTCTTTTCGGTTCAGATGGAAAACAGATTTTGAAGAAAATGCCAGCAAAGCACCGAGCTGTCCAAAAAAGGAAGGGCTTTGTGTTCCACCGACGCTGGCAGCCTTAGGCCATAGTAGAGTACAAAAATTTGCTTTCACATCCATACTGTAAAATCTTTTCCTCTCTGTCTAATGTAATTTTTCTCTCAACAATAAACAGTATAACTGAGTCTGAATCTGGCTAAACATTCTTTATTACTAATTAGAGGTGAGGTCATCTGCAACTTTTTCTAATTTCATACTTAATACCAGAATGATTTCTCTTTTCTTTTGACTCTACCTTATTTTCATAGATGTCAGAAGCTGCAATAATTTTTTAACACGTAAATCAAATTAAGAGGGACCTCCCTGAAAAGCTCCTATAACAAAAAGCTCCTACAGTACATGAAGAACAAATAAATTTATTCTTAAAAATGTCACATGAGCATATCTGTTCATTGTATTAGAATTTTGTCACTAAATTGCCATGTATTAAAGAAAAGCAATTTGACTTATTATAAGTGACAGAGTTGTTTCCTAAAACCAAAAATGGCCATATCAAACAAAAACAAACATAATATAAAAAAGCACACACTGGGAAAAGTCTGACATAGATCTAGTAATATATGATAAAAATGTCACCCACTGAAAGCCCTTCTTCCACCAACTTAGTGGTAAGAAGCACACGACGTGAAGATGCACAGAACCGAGATAGCAAACTAGTGAAAAGATATCTCTTTCTCTCTTGTAGTACACTAGTCAAGACACTAAATACTATAGCAAACCATTTAACTGTGACAGCCCATCCCTAACCAGTATAGACAGTTTATACTGAAAAAGCTTATGAAACAGATCATTATGAAGTGCTGGGATCAGGTGTTCGGTTCAAAAGAACCAAACACACACACACACACACACACACACACACACACACACACAAAAGAAAATTGAAACAAAAGCATATTTGGGCTCAACGACTATTTCCTTTGATTTTGTATTCTAGATCACTAACAACTATGTACATTATTACATTAACACAGACAGTGTATACCCCTCCCCATACTGGAATAACTAAAAATTCTCAAATTTCACATTCTATCTTTTCCTGTTATATAAATTCAGAATGAGCAAAAATATGCTACTTCTTTCCTTCAGCATTCAGCATATCCTGAGAAAACATAATAATTTAAATCTATCATAATTCTCAACTACCCAAAAAAACACTCTTTCCATTTCCCATTTATTTCTTAAACTTTATTTCTAAAATTACAGTTTCCTTAAATACTGATGATTTAAGACCACCGTATTAAGTGTGCATGAGCATCTACAATCTAATTTGTGCTCACACATACCTACAAAATCCTCTAGAAATTAGAGGGAAATATTCTGAGAGGCCGTGGAAAACTATATGATAAAAAAATTCCTAGTTTAGATAATGCTTTCAGTGACCTAAAAATACATAATGAAAAGTGAAGTCACTGAAAAGCCTTCAGTAACAGCTGAGAAAGAAGAGAGCCATTACCCTCTAATATTGCCGGTTAACGCAATGAGAACTGGAAGGTTAAACAAGTATTATCTCCCAAGCAACGAAGAGAATCTAGAAATAGGTTTTCTCAAAAAAAAAAAAAAAGTAGAAGAAAAATATCTCAAAGGTCTTTCCACTTTCCAAAAAGAGAGGCTTCTTGATAATCTCCAAACTCAGATCTGATGGGAGAAAAAAAATCACTTTGGAAGCATATATCCTTTGAAACTTCTCTTTCCTCTGAGTTATGATGGGTAATCCCCCTACAGGTTTCCTTCCTTCCAAACTGCACTGCAGGGCATTATATAACATTTAACAGAATAAGATTCCAGCTCCTAGAAGAAGCATGCCTCTTTCCTGCTAGCTAGCTCACTTTCTCGCCCTCCAGTGGTGACTTGGAAAGGAAAGAAGAGAGAAGGGGGGGGGGGGGATGACCCATCTCCTTAAAAGGAAAGCACTGTCCAGTGATGAAATTTCCCTACTGAACATTAAAACCTAGAGTGAAATTGATCTTATGTCTGAGACTAAAGGGTTTGAGTTTTCCAAAATGTGAATTATTTCTCATTGATAAATTACAGCCTTGTGATTCCCTCCCAATCTATACATACAGGAAAAAGGGGGAGAGGACTATATAGAATGGTGAGAACAAGAAAAATAGCTTGGGGTGGGGAGCCTGTGGAAGAGCATTCACCTTCCCATTTGTCAGGAATGACTTGCTAAACTGCAGAGGAGACACTGGCTGGCAAAATCGTGAAGCAGAGAGAAGAGAGGAGAGCTACATCTTCCATTTCCTCCTCCCTCTCCTTTGAACGTCTTTTAAAGCCGAGTGATTGTCATTTACACATTCAGATTTGTTCTCCTGTCAGGGCAAATTCTGCCTGCCTATGCCACACCTGGATGTGTGTCTGAGTTCCTACTAAAAATATTCTTTGCCATTAACAAAGTCATGGAAATGAAACTCTTTCCGAACCTACATTTTAAATAAGCAGTTTAGAGTAAAGGCAGCAAAATTGCAATTCCACAGCCAATCCTGAGAAAGCAAAGTGAAGCAGGAATCAGATTTCCCTATAACACAAATTCTTCTGCAATTCTCAAAAGGAAGTCACTCCCCCTCCCTTGTTTTTGGCAATCTACAAGAATCTCTTCTACCTCTGCAGTCTCTCCCTCCCTCCCTCTTCTCAGAACCAAGACAAAGAGGTAGACAAATCCCCACAGGGTCTTTCCTGGGCTACAGCTGCACAGAACAGGAAACAGGAATCTGCTATGGAGCTGAGAGGGAGGAGGAGAAAAAAGGATATGGGATTGGATACACAACACACTGTGGTCTGTACCAACACTTTCCAACTGATAACAATAAAGCTAGTTTTTTCTAAGGAGATAATAATAATTAAAACTCTGCTTGCTATACTCCACTCACAAACCTTTACTTAGATCCCAGAAAGGAGAAAACAAACATGCCGAGAACGCACAAATCTTACCTGAGTTACCATTTTCTTTTTCTCCATAAACAAAATGGAACAGATGATAAACCCTTCAAAGCAGCGGTGCTGGGGCGCACCTCCGTGGCTTTCTTTTCCACCCCCCCTCCCCCCCAAGCTAGCTATTTAAGGGTGGGTAATAGACCTCCCTTTATATCGTTTTCCTTTCTTTTCTTTCTAGTGTTTCTTCCTTTCTTTTCTCTTCCTCTCTGGCAGTCTCTCCCCCTCCTTTCTCCAGCTCCCTCCCATATCTCAGGCAGATGGCTGAAGGAAGCCCCACCCCTGAATGCCTAAGGTAATTAATCAGAGCAGAGCCCCACCTCTTCCTCCTCCCCCCACCTCTCCCAGCAGGCTGACAGCTCCCAACTCCAGAAGCAGGCCTGCTACAGAATGGCAGTTTGGCCTGTGCTTTGCTTAGCTTTGCGCACGCGTGTGCGTGTTTGTCTGTGTGTGTAGGGGAAGGAGGAGGAGAGTGAGGGAAGGGAAGGCGTCATGTGCTGGCATATTTTAAGGATACGATGATGGCATTAATGATACTGCACTGGAAGCGTTCATCACAACTTACTGAAGTTAATACAGATTTAAGAGATTACTGTCGAACATCTGATAACCAAAGAAAAATTTTTTAAAATTTTTACCAGCTGAGGATGAGCTGAGGATGTGGCTCAGTGATGGAGTGCTTGGGTAGCATGCCTAAGTCCCTGGGTTTAATTCCCACCACCAAAAAACCAAACCAAAACAAACAAAAACTACTAATATGCAGTTTATAGACACATTTGATTTAATGAAAAAAATAATAAATTGACAAGCTACTCAATGATAACTGACAGGAAGGTTTTCAAGGAACAGAAACATGTAAAAATTTGCATGCCCAGGGAAGAGCAAATAAGCCTAATAAGGGTAAAGGGCTAAAAGAGAGGAAGGAGGTCATTTAAATGCTTATTTTTCCTTACTGTAACAAACTTGAGGGTTCTAGAGACACCAAGGTAGCTCACAGCTACACTTCCCGCTACTCGGGGGGGCTGCAGCAGGTCTGTGTAACACAGACTATCTTAAAAAAAAAAAAAAAACACCTGGCGATTCTAACATGTATCTATAAATATGACCCCTTAAGAAACTAAAAATGTTCACAAATTTGACTGCTTAAAGCTTCCAATTTGGTTTTAAAATTTTGGTTAACAAGAAATTCACCCTTTGTATTTCCCAGACTTCTGTGTTTCAGTTTCTAGTAAAAAGGAAAAAAAAAACCTTTCTTTTATTTTTGACACACTGGCATCTGTGTCATCATTGTAATTAGTAACTGTTACTATAGAGTGCTATAAATACAGAAGGTTTAGGAGAATATTTATTGAACGCAAAAGCTTCTTTAAGGTTTTCTCATTACAATCATATAATGAAAAAAAATCAAAGATGACATTCAGTATACAAGTCTTGGTCTAAATTCTGCCCACTGCTAGTAATATTAGGAAAGTCTTTAATTTCTAAATATAAATTCCATAATCTCCTGACTCTGCATATTAAACACTCAAAATTACATGAATATGATTTTTGCTGTTTGTCTCATAAAAATTAAATTTCCTAATTTTTTTGGTATTCTGATAGGATCCCATCCTAAAGGACAACATACTTTAGTTCTGCTAAATTTATGTTAATATCTCTAATAGACTACCAAACAGTCAAATAGATTAATTCCAAACTTAAGCTTTTTATTTTAGAAACAAATAAAGGAATCAAAATTTAAAACCGGTAACCACAATGAGAACACATAATTTTTTGCTCTCTCTGAGGACTGTTTGGCACAATGCAGAACCAGGCTCTTTAAAATTCACTGCATAATACTACTGGTTGGTACTTTGCCAATGCAACATCACATTCTCCCCTAAATAATCATTTTAACAATTCCAAAAAGAACACAAGAACTATAAAACCATCTATAGAGCTGGGAGAAATTGGTACAACCTTAGCTAGTTTCTGAATACCTTTGTCACATGCTATTCAGCATTTAACAGGTATCAGATAATCCATTACATATAAAAATATGTAAAAAAGAATGGCATCTTCACATATTAGAAAAAAATTACAAGAAAATGAATAGATCGGTACTAGGTCTGTTCTTATTTAATATTTTTAGAAATACTCTGGGAGACAGAACATTTAGTGCTCTCAGAATGTGCAACTGAAAGACCAACTAGAAGGAGATAAAATGTAGTCAAAAAGATTTTTAAAGACAAAGTGGGCCAGGGATGTAGCTCAGTGGTGCCGGACCTGCCTGGCAAGCACAAGGTCCTGAGTTCGATTCCCAGTATAACCAAAAAACAAACAAACAAACAAAAAAAGACAAAGTGAGTAAGCAGGAAGAGAATAGGTGAGTTTCACTGACAGCAGTGTGCTTTTGAAAAAAATATAAATCATATGTATGGGATAATTGTGTTTTCAGTTCTAATGAATGAGCTAAACCTACAAATCACTGCACACTATTTTCTGAATCCACTAGTCCATTATACCTCTCTTGGCAAAAACCTCAAGCACCAAGAAGATAGCCTCTCCCTCAGGCCTCCCATTCCAACCCTTAGAAAGGCCACAGCTACCTTTATGCTGTGATTACAGCCTCCAGGTATCATGAGAAGACACTGGGCCTCAAATGAAGGATTTCCACATGCACAAGTCTAGCACTAGGATAAGGGTTTCCTTGAGCCTCAGGATTCATGCTGAACTTCTACCCTTAAGACCAATATTGTACAACACAAATGATAGCCTTAAAAATTCACTACCACAAGAAAAAGATGGTATGCGCTAAAAATAAAAATATCAAATAATTTTTATAAACTCACCAAATAATAAAATCATAGTGAGCACTGGACAATGAAACTCTAAAGTGTGTCTCTGACTTTAAAAGGCTGGCAAGAGAGGGCCCAAGAGAAAAGAAAAGTGCAACTGAACAGCCTGGGTCTGACTCAGCAAAATAACTGGAGTCCCCTAGTGGCTGGATATGCCCAGTAATGTATAAAGAAGTCATTTCAGCATTTTAGGGCATTTCCTTCCCTCCTTCCCTCCTTCCCTGCTTGCTTACTACCTCCCTCCCTTCCTTTTCTCTCTCCCTTTCTCTCCATCCACGTGGAGCGGGGGGGGGGGGGACCGACAAGTGAGAGTTGGCTGGGGATGTGGGTAGGCAAACTACAATTGTCAGCTAAGAGAAACCATGTCTACCTTTGTGGGTCAACCCCCAGTTTTCAGCAGTATGCTTGGGACATGGTAGGTACTCAAGAAGTATCTGCTCAATAAAACAAAGGGGAAAGGTAGTTCCACTTGTCTCAATTCCTTGATTGTTTCTCAATGTTTCATGTACTCTCCAGAACCCCCAGCTTCCTTTCCTCCATACTATTCAAATGAAATTTCTCTTACTGAAGTCACCAAATAACTTCCAAATGAGAGCCAAGCTCAAAGAACATTTTTTATCTTCTTTGACTTATCTGTGCATTCTTTTCTTTGGGAAACTTAACTCAGCATCAAATAATACCAGTCTTTCCTGGTTTCTCTTTCTCCCTGCTCATGCCCTTCTCTTATTCTTCCACTGCCAGTCTGTGAATGCTGCTGTCCCTTGAGATGCCGTTCTTAGACTTCTTCTTACTGAAAACCATAAGTTCTTCACCAGGTGCATGTCCTCACATAGGCATACTAATGGAAATTTTTCTTACGTGCCTTTCTCTACAAAGAAGACCCACAGTACTCATTAGATTCTCAAAAGGGCCCAAACCTCAAAGGTGATGTTACCAACCACCCTTGCTTTAGATGTTCTAACTCATTCTGTCATTTCAGTTACCCCCTATTCACCCTGATGGCCCCACATTTATACTTCCAGCCTGTATCTTTCCCAAGCTGCAAAACACAACATCCAACTGCCAAATAATGATCAACTCCATTTTTTAAAACTACAAATTTAAGAGTCCAAAACTAGATTAAATTCTCAAAACTGAATCAATTCATTTAACAACTATTATGTTCCAAGTATGACCCTGGGCACCAGGGAAAAACAGTGCTGGGCAAGAGATATTAAAGCCCCTATATATGTGAAGCTTAGATTCTGCCATTCATTCTATGATGTCTGTTTTCCAGGTGAATGGTTAAACTTCATAACAGCTACCACTTCTTGAGAATTCACTCTGAGATGTCTTCTGATTAGGCAACTACATAGCTCATTTCATTTTCATGACAATTATGAAATATTTTCATCTCCTTTTTGGGATGAGGGAACTAAGCTAGGTGACGGTAACTATCATGCCCAAAGCACTGAAGCCAGCAAGCTGCAAAACTCTGAAACTCAAATGTGACAGGCTCCTCATATTCAACACCACACCAAATCTGAAGCAAGCCTTTTGATTTCTTTCCATCTGCTCTTTCTTTCTACCTCTATCACCACAAATTCAATCTGACCTTTTTATTCTGTATCTAGGTCCTACTTGTCTCTATCTCCAGTCTACCACTCTTCCTATCCAAGATATCATTACTGTCAGAGTGATCTTTTGAAATGTAAATCTCATTATGTCACTTTGCTGAATAATATCCTCTACCATTTCTCATACTCTAACAGCCAGGAAAAATACTGATTCTTTTTTTTTGGTACCTGGGATCGAACTTGGGTCCTTGCGCTTGCACAGCAGGCGGTGAAACCACTGAGCCAAATCCCTGGCCAGGAAAAATACTGATTCTTAAACACAAAATTAAAACATAATCTGGCTCCAGAATACCTGTCGAGTCACTACTCACCTCCCACCACTCCTTTTCCCTGCTCCTGCCACAATGAACTAACTGATGTTAATTCCTCAACATCACCATGTTTCTGTTCTTACTCCCTTGAATATGGCCTTCTGTTTGGCTAATCCACCCTTCAAGATTTACTTCAGGGATCCAGAAAACCCTGCTCCTATACCTGTGCTAGGTGTACTTCTTAATCATGTGCATACTTTACTTTAGCACCTGCCGGGAATTTAACTCAGTGGAGCTTTGCCTCCCTTGAAAGCGCAAGGTCCTGAGTTCTATACCAAGTAACAACAACAACAAAAAAGTAAACTTTACTTTAGCACCTAATCCATGGGACATAAATGGAGCCCTTATTTCCTCGAATTCTGACTAGCGGTCTAAGGGCAGAAATCATGTTTTACATCATATCCCAGAAGAGTGTTTTTTGTTTTTTGTTGGGGCAGGGGGGAGTACTGAGAATTGAATCCAGGAACACTCTGTCACTAAGCTACACGCCCAGCCTTTTTTATTTTTCATTTTGAGACAGGTTCTTGCCAAGTTGCCTAGACTGGCCCTGAACTTGCCATCCTTCTGCCTCAGCTTCCTGAGTAGCTGGGATTACAGGCAGGCACCACTGGGCCTGGCCATACTGTAGTTTTTAAC